TTTGTTACTCTGCATTTTCATTTATGGTCCTCTTTTGAGTCATGCTGAAATCAGATTAATTTGCTTTGCAATGATTTTCCCCCCAAACAAATTACAATAATGGCTGCTTTTATTAAAGGACAACTGAATCTAAATTTTAATTAAGGGTTAGCTGAACTATAGTTTTTCCAAAAGATTGCTTTTCTTTATTTTGCCCATCTGAATGTTGCTCTAAAAAAAAAAAAAACCAGAAAAGCAAGCTGCATTTTTAACTGGAGAAATGTTTCATCCATATTTTTAATTTTTTTTTAATTATTGTCAAGGAATTCATTTCATCATGTTGTTTTTATTCATCTCATTCCCAGAATTTTCAGGATATGCTCTTTATCATGGAACATCTCAAGACAAGAATCAAGACTCTCCCCCAGTGTGCCAGTGACCCAGATTTATGGAGTCACAGCTTCATCATTTCCATTTTCTGCCTTATCTCCGCGCTGTCACCACGCTGCCGTCCTTGTCAGACCATCTCTTCTTGCCTTTGAAGTTGCAGACTGCATCTCTGCAGAGAATGCAGGCACAGAGCTGCTGCCAAGGGAGCCCAGGGCCATGCACACCTGCCAGGGATGCTCTGCTCTGCCACCTCCTTGTTTGCATTTCTGCCCACTCATGTCCAGAGGAGCCTCCAGGTGTGAGGGAGGGACCCGTGCCCGGGGAGCAGAGCCAGCTCTGCCTGCAGCCCAGGGTGACACTGAGTGCTGGTGTGTTCCGCAGGGAGCAGAGCCAGCTCTGCCTGCAGCCCAGGGCGACACTGAGTGCTGGTGTGTTCCGCAGGGAGCAGAGCCAGCTCTGCCTGCAGCACAGGGTGCTCGCTGCATCCTGGCCTGTTCCGCAGGGAGCAGAGCTCAGCTGCTGCTCCTGGAGCCTCCCAGCTCAGGCTGGAGTGCCCCCACAGCTCCTCCCAGCAGCAGTGCCCGGGCTGTGCTGGTGCCAGGGACAGCAGGACGAGCTCAGGAGAGCGCCCACAGCCCCTGCAGTGCCCAGGCAGCAGAGCCAGCAGTGCCAGGGGAGTCTGCAGCCCTCCTGCACCTGCCCAGGGCCAGGAGCCGTCCCGGCTCCTGCTGCAGCTCCAGGGCTGGCACTCCAGGTGTGCCAGGGCAGCCCCACCTGCCCAGCCCTCAGCCTGCCCGTGCCACTCTTCAGGACACTCCAACGCCACCTTAGCCGCAACAACAAAGGCAAAAGAATATTTCAGAAATTATTCTTTTCTTTTCTTTTTGTTCTGACGTGCGACTGCTGGTTTACAAAGCTCTGCCATAAATCAGGGAACCATTTATTTTCTTTTGCAGGTTTGCCAGGCAGCAGTGCCCACTTTTCAGCTAACCTTTCAGTTAAAAGCTAAGTTTAGTTGCCTTTAGAGCTTGTGCTTCCAACTGTGATTGACCCGATCCGTGTCCAGCCGTGTAAGCAGGATGTTGCCATGCATGAACTGACGAGCCTGTTCTTTCTGTTGTTGTTTTTAGCTTTTAGGTAACCCAGCCTCTGCAGGACGGCCTGACAGGGTGGAGCATGCGGGGCGAAGGTCCTCCCATGGCAGTGCAGTGCCACAAAGGTCTCGGCCCCTGCTGGTCCCCTCCATTGGTTAGTTGGACAGATGGTGCATTCCTGTTTTGTGCAGCCTCACACCTGGGGAGGAGAGCATGGAAAAGCAGCAGCAGGGTCTTTGTGGAGCCAGGCTGGCCCTGGTTTGGAGGGGTGAGATGGGCTGCACCCACTCAATGGAATGGAGAGCTGGGGCTGCCCAGGCTGTGGGGGCAGTCTCTGGCACTGCTGCAGCCTTGCACTGCCCTCGGGGGCTGCTGAGGTGGCTCCAGCTCAGACACAGCTGATCTCAGCTCAGGAAACCCACTGGCAGCTGCTCATGGTCAGTGAAATCAGTGTGGCCACCCAGACCCGCCCCAGCCGTGCACCCTGCCATCCACCAGCCATCATTCGTGTTCACCTGCCATTCTCCTGACCACTTTTTTCATTAATTCATGGCAAACTCTTGCAAACCTAACAAAAATGGCTTTCCTACATGAGCTGTGCAAATGTCAGTCTGGTACAGGAAATCAGCCCAGCTTCCAGTGCAGGCTTTATAAGCTTTTTTAAAAATAGCAACTTGCTGATAAAATAAAAAAAAACAAAAAACCCACCAAGCTTTATAGGACACGCAGTGAGGTTTGGGTTTTTTTCACTGAAATGCCCAACATGTTTCAAGTATTACCTGGGGAGTTGGCTGATGAGGCCAGCTTGTGTCACTGAACTGCTCTCTCCTGAATTTGCTGTCACAGATGGCTACGGTGGCCACGACCGCCTCTCCCCAGACCTGTACGAGGAGTCTGAGACAGACCCTGGCACAGAAGACCTTTCCACTCGAATCTTTGTTGCACTTTTTGACTACGACCCGCTGACCATGTCCCCGAACCCCGATGCTGCAGAGGAGGAGCTGCCCTTCAAGGAGGGACAGATCATTAAGGTGAGACCTGAGGGCACGGGACACCCCAGCATTTTACAGACAGCTCTGCTTTGGGGGAACGCTGCCTGTGTGATCACAACCCTGGGCTTTTCCTTCAGAGGCTCAGGTGTAAATCTCACCAGACCTGGCAATTAATACCTAGTGCTAATGGCTTTTTGACCTTGTTTGAATATCAGGTTTATGGGGACAAAGATGCTGATGGGTTTTACCGTGGAGAAACCTGTGCAAGAGTTGGCCTTATCCCCTGTAACATGGTCTCTGAGATACAGGCAGATGATGAAGAGATGATGGATCAGCTCCTTAAACAAGGTTTCCTTCCCTTGAACACTCCAATTGAGAAAATAGGTAAGGGGAAATACAGACATTTCCCTCCAGACTCTTGGCTCCCTTAGCTTGGCTGCATTTGCCTCTTGGTTTTGTGCAGATGCATCTACATTTTGCAGTCATTTACTGCCCCAGGGTATATATTCTGTCTGTGTGTCTGGATAATTTTATATAACTAATATTTAATCCTGGTGACAGCATTGGCTGCAAACGGGGACCTGCAGCTTCACCACCCCACTTGTTGCTTTCTTTTCTGATTAGACAAAAAAAAAAAAAAAAGTGGGTTTTGTGTCCTGAAGTATTCATCAATATTTATTTATCAATATTTATCAATAACTGCAGTGCCTTTGACAATAACTGCAGTGCCTTTATCAACACCTGCAATAGCTGTCTCAGTACCTGCAGTACCTGCATCTGTACCTGCAGAGCCTGTGGCAGTACCTGCAGTACTTTTATCAATACCTGAGTAACTTTACCAATACCTGAGTACCTTATCAATCCCTGAGTACCTGTATCACCACCTGCAGTGCCTGTGGCAGTTAACTGCAGTGCATTTATCAATCCCTGAGTGCCTGTATGCACACCTGCAGCACCTGTATCAGTAACTGCAGTGCATTTATCAATCCCTGAGTGCCTGCGTGCACCCCTGCAGCACCTGTATCAGTAACTGCAGTGCATTTATCAATCCCTGAGTGCCTGCATGCACACCTGCAGCACCTGTGTCAGGAACTGCAGTGCATTTATCAATCCCTGGGTGCCTGCATGCACACCTGCATCAGTAACTCCCTCTCTGTCCCCAGCAGAGCCCCGTGGCCGGCGCGGGGGCCGGCAGCAGCCGCTGACCACTCGCAGGATGGTGGCTCTCTACGACTACGACCCCAGGGAGAGCTCCCCCAACGTGGATGTGGAGGTAGGGGCGCAGCCTGGGGGCTCACAGCCTGTGAGCGTCCTCACTCATCCTCTGAAATGTTCGGGTTTGGTTTTAATGGCGGAATTGTAGAAGGAGAAAGTGAATTTTGAAATATGTGGGACTCGGTGCTTTAAAACACAGCCTGGGTTGTTTTCTGTTTCTTATTGAACCAAATCTTTTTCTAAATTATGGTGTTTCAAAGTAGTTTGGCCAATAAATCAAATAAATCGTGCTGATGTATTGCAAAGATTTTGTTTGTTCTCTCTCCCATGGCCACAGGAAATTAAACATAATTTAAAAGCCCCGCCCTAATTGCATTTTAGCCATAGACAATTAAAGAGACCGGTGCACTGGGTGCTGATCAGAGAGGAGCTGCCCATGGTGAAGGTTTTGCTGAAGAGCACCCAGCAGAGCTGCAGTGCAGGAGCCTTGTGCCTCAGGGCTTGGGCTGGGTGATGCCCTGAGCGCCCTGAGCTGCTCCCCCTCCACCAGGATGGATGTAGGGGCCCTTTGAAGCTGCAGTTAAAGCTTGTGCAGGTTCTCCAAGGCCTGAATGTCTCAGCTGTTGGTCACAGGGAGCCCTGTGGGTGTCCACACACAGTGGGACAGGGGCTGGGCTTTGCAAGCTGAGGGAAAAACCCCAAGGGGAAAAACAAGAGGTTTGGCTGTCAAAGATCAGTTTGGTTTCATCAGTGTCTTAACATGAAGGAGTGGGGGGAAATCTGAATGGATTCCCTATTAATAAAGAAAGGCTGATCTTTGCCTGTCCCTGCTCCTACCCTGCAGGCCGAGCTGACCTTCTGCACTGGGGACATCATCACTGTCTTTGGTGAAATCGATGAAGATGGATTTTACTATGTAAGTTGTGTCTGCTGGCTCAGCCCAAACTGCTCCCAGCTCCAGCAAACACCAGCCTGGGGAGGGATGTGCGATTGTGTGAGCTCAGGGGCCATAGATGGGAATTCCCTCTCCCTCGCCAGCTCTGAAATCGGCCGCGATGCGTCCCTGCCTCCTTGGGATAGATGTGATGGGACGAAAGCACTCACTGCCCCTTCCCTTGCTGGCAGGGGGAGCTCAATGGACACAAGGGGCTGGTTCCTTCCAACTTCCTCGAAGAAGTGCCTGACGATGTGGAAGTGTTTCTCTCGGACGCGCCCGCGCGCTACGCCCACGACGCGCCCATGCGAGCCAAGGCCAAAAGGGTAAGCAGCCCCCTCAGGAGCACCTGAGCCCCCATCTGCCATTCCATTCTGTCTCACGTGTCATTCTGACATTACTTTTAACATTACGTTTAAATTCATTTGCCCATTTAAAGTTATCTTTCAAATACATAAAATAAAACCTGAGGGAAAACGGCTTTAGCCTGTGCCAGCTCGTTACGTTTGTAAATGGAGAAACGGAATGGACTGTTTGGTTGCAGTCATCTGCCCTTCAGAACCTGAATTTAAGCAGCTCTTTCCTGGTGATAGTTATTTCCCAAAGCTTCTAAATTGCTCTTTAAACAAGGTTCTTGCGCACAAAAGCCTGGTACCAGTGTTCCTCTAAATACAAACTGTAACTGCAGCTGATGGACTGACAGTGGTCCTCTCTTAATCCTTACAACTTCCTGTTCCAACTGGCGATAATTAATTGCACAGAGACTTCTCTTTCATGAAAGAATTAATCATGTTTAGAGTATCTCATTTTTGGTTTTGTTTCATCACTGCAATACTTTTATATATTATATATTTTATATATATTTTTATTTCTTTGCTCATCTGCTTGGAAACAGAAGAAGAGTGTTCATTTCACACCTTAATAAGGCAATGTAGCCTTCACGTAAGTGAGCAACTGAAGATACCAATAGAGATTTCAATTAAAGCTACCTGGCTATCTAATGCAAGTCTTGAAACTTAATTGTGGGGGAGAACAAAAGAAATATGTCTCCAAACCCCTTGGCCACAGAAGACCAGGCTGCATGCCTTTGCTGTACCTAGTCGAGTCCACTCCTTTCTTGGGAGACAAATCCTTTAAAACAGGAGCCTCTGAAATCCATCGGCCCTCCCTGTACGAAGGTCGGCGTTTGGAACATATTTCTTCCCGAGCTCAATGTTTATGTTTACATAGAGAGGAGAGTTTGATGTCTAACTACCCTACAAACAAAGCTGCATATTGCATTGCTAGCCAAGCTGGGATGTAAAAATTCCAAGCTCCTGTGTCAAGAGAAAAGCACAAAGCTGCAGCCCCTGCAGAACCAGCAGTGCCGCTGGCACGGACGGTAGTTTACAAGGGGATAGTTGGTTCTGAAACTCACTACACTCAAACACAGCTACTTAAATTGTCTGCCTTAAAATGTGTTTTCCACAATCTATTTTACCCCAGTTTGCCTAAGACCAACTATTCAACGCTTCTGAAAAGAATCCCCTCCTGTGGTACAATTCACTGGATTTTCCTAGCAGTGTATGTTTGCAATATTAGCAACTGTTTGGTTTACCAATGCAATAAAGTCTCGACCTGAAACATGCAGCTCACTGAATGAATGCATTAGACTCCATATCTGGTATCTTCAGGTGTACGTTGGGGTGCTTTACCAAGTTGTTTTGGTTTGTTTTGTTTTTTTTTTTTTCATTAGAATTAGACCTTGATTTAAAATCAAAGTAGGCTTGAAGCCCCTTTGCTTAACTCACTGTTGCACAATGAGCCAGTAAATTGCTGACATTTTAACTTGAACTAAAGCTAGCAGGCCTCCCTACAGCATGGACTCTACTGTGAAAATATCATCCTAATTGATAGCAACCATTTTGCCAGCTGGGCACTGTAGTTAGGATAGGCTGACTATATGTAATTTTAGCATTTTCATCCAAGTGCTTTTGATGACTGAAAAAAAAAAAAAGCTGTTCAAAATATTTAGGAATGCTGTCATCTAACAACCTCATAGCTGCAGCATACACATCAAGCACTCAGGGCCTTTAAGCTTTCTTTGATTGCAATTAAGGTTCATTTTAGCTTTTTCTTTTTCCTTTTTTTTTTTAAGCCAGTGTGCCATCTTCTCTAATCTGTACATAAAGTTTGCTAGCCAATTTTAAAGAAAAGGCATTTAAAGGACATTAAAAAGTAAGTGATCATGTAGCATTTTAAGTATTTTCTTCTGAAAAGAGTTTGGCTTCTATAGATTGCTAATTAACATCTATTAACATGTTTATTTTTCTTAAATCTATAGCTGAAAGTATCCCTCTCCATTTTAGTACTATCAGAGTACTGAAATGAAAAGCCAAAGCCAATTTTGTGGCTTTTATGGCCAGAATTCTGGCAAAGTAAGCGTATCCAACATTTCCTTTAAAAAAGTATAGTCAAAACTGGGCTTTATTGGTGGGTTTTCGATTTCTATTTTTTTTTCTCTAAATTGATGTATTTTCCATAAGCCCACGCAGTATTTTAAGCCAGAGAGAAGAAAGAAACCAGCCCTTTTGTTTAAGTGGGTAGTGGGACAAGTGATGTTACCAAGTTTCTTGCTGCTGATGGCTTTAAGCTTTCAAAGATTGAATAAATGATAACAATGTACCTACTAGGTTCCTCCCGAGAATACAGGTACCTCCCGGAGAGCACCTTCCCCCACAGTTCATCTCCATTCCGGGTCTCCTCCGTCTCCTGTGCTGGGCTCTGGGAGCCCCGGCAGAGGCAGGGATATGGCCTCGAAAAAGAAAAAGGGGCTGCTTTCCAAAGGCAAGAAACTGCTGAAAAGGCTTGGTGCAGTGAAATGAGTCATGTGCTCCTGGACAACTTGTAAAGCTTCCAGTCTGTGTACTTTTTTTTTTTTTTAAAGTCAAAACTAGGGCTTTCATGACTATGCAGTACTTTACCAGACCGTTGCATTTTTAACTCTGACATCAATAGAGTCATGCCAATTGCTTAATCAAAACAGCAAGGAAAAAAGGTAAATGCATTTGTTGTTGCAAAAACATTTTTTAAAAAGTAAAAAAAAAAAAAAAAAGGCAAAAAAAAAAGGTTATGGGCTTAAGACCAGAAGAACATGGTTTTATTTGAAGACATCTCAACACCTGCAACTCCATTGGAAAAATCTCAGCCTTTATTCTCCTTTAACCATGAGTGGGGGGAGAAAACTCAATCACTAATTGCTAAGTTCAGAGAGATCACCCCACTGGATCCACTCATTAACAAAAATGGTCTTGAAACTCCTAGTTGAATCAGCCTTGATGTTTTGCCTTATTACTGCACAATGATTTGTACTGTCTAATAAATATGCAGCGTATACTTTGTATGTACTGTGTATGCAGCTGTGTCCATCCTCCCTGCACCAGTAGCTCCAGGTGAACACTGGGACTGCCCCAGCCCTGTCTGATGGACTCCTGGCAGTGTGCAAGTGCTGTGCTAAACCCTTCTCAGTTTTGGTCCCCCAGTAAAAACCACACCCTCTACTGGTTTGCCATTCTCGCTCCAGGGGAACCAGGCAGTGCAAGTTACTCAGAACCTCACCCCATTTCAATCTCCAGTTCTGGGGTTCCTGGTTCCCTGTTCTAAGCTATGGGAAAAAACCAACTGCACACCAAAAGCCCTTTAGTCCCTGTTTTTTTCCGTGGAGGTTCAGTCCTAGGTTAAAAGGCATTTTCATTCTGCTGCTGTCAGATTGAGGCAAGTCCATCTGCAGTGAAAGGACAAAGTGTTCCAGCCACAGCCCCACGAGGCTGCACCAGGCTCTATCACCCCCCAACTGCAACATTGGCATATCACAAAAACCAATCCTCCACACTGATGGCAGTCATTGGCTGTTACTATTTTGTAATTCTTGTCCATTTGTAAATTGTTTTTACTGTTTATACATACTTTTCAGACTGCCTTTCTTTTTGTAATTTACGGAAGGTTTATAAATGAATGATCAAAGCTTCCCCATTGTGTCTTCAGATAACAATGTAAATTACTGTAAAATACTGTGTGCTAGATTATAACATTTAATTAAAGAAAATAACTGGCCTACATTTGTGGTAAAGTACCGTGTGGGTGTGTGCATGTGTACAATCGTTGTGTATTATATTTTATATAAATAAATAATTTGATATTTTGTAGAGTGCAGTATGTTTCATAAATCCCCTGTGTCAGCTGCTGCCTTCCTGGGTCAGCCTTTTTTCAGAACTGCCCATGGCCACTGAAGTTCACTGCAGAATAAAGAAAAGTTCCTCCATCTGCAAGGGCTTCCCAGAGGTAAAAAAGGGTTGCAGAGTTACTCCAGCAATTGTCCCATCTGTGCCCAAAGCCCAGTGCTGAAGCACAAAATACAGAACAGGCTCAAACGGGCAAGGATTACAGCAACAACTTTATTTAAATTTCACAAAGCAAAGCAACAAGGTTCACAACAAGGTGGTTAAGAAAACCAGCACTAATCTGAATTTCTCCACGTGCAGTAGTTTGCTACTGCAAAAATCTGAAATCAACCTCCATGCCCCCACCTGCTGTTAGTTTCAAAAATGGGCTGCAGAACAGTGACCAATGAAAACCTCAGACATGAACAAACCAGGGCTGCTTCCCAGTGCTTGGAACTACAAGACCAAAAACCCCAAGCGTGCCAGTGCACTGCTGTTCCCTGATGGAAATGTACTTCTCAGTTAAGGAGCAGTGTTGAACAGGAGCAGCCCAGCAGTTCAGCTGCCTCCAGCCCTCTCCCCCCACCAGGCAGTGACCATGAGGCTCCAGCCCAGGACAGTCCCTGTTCCCAGAGCTGCTCCAGCAGCACAGGCAGCCCAAGGTGGCCCTGCTGTGGGGAGGCTCTGCAGAGCTGAGCCCTCAGCGTGCAGCTGCACACAGCCCTGCCCCTCACAGCTGGCACCTGGTAGCACCAGAGCTTGGGGCTGCTCCGCAAACCCCTCACACCCACGGCTGCTCAAACCCTGCCACGGTCCTGCATCGCTGTGCAGCCTGCACACAAAGCCTTGGTAACCAACAGCACCTGGTCACCTCCTCCTCAGGTATGAAACAGCTCAGGAGACAAAGCTGGCCCTCATCTTAACCAAGCAAAACAAGGAATCAACAATATTGAAGCATTTTGAAAAGTAGAAGGGTAAATACCAGCTGGAAGAGTTGGGATTCTGGTCTGCATAACTCTCTATCTCCCATGCAAGAAGTAATTCTGTGTAAGACGTACCAAAATGTAAATAAGAACAACCAATAAACTTTTAGGAAGAACTTTAGAAAATAAGTATCAAATATCATAAAAATTTGTGTGGTTATTCTAGCAAGCAGACACCTGTTCAAAATGCAAATCTCAAGCTTTTCCTTGGTACAATGAAAATAAAATAATTTCCACAACTGCACATATCCTGTGCATGTCTCTTATGAAAAACCAAAACTAAACCAAAAGCCCAGACAATTGTACATTCCCTAGAGAGGAACTGCTCTCTTCTGTTTGGCTGGTAGCTGAGCTTCAAAGGTAGTACAGTCTGTCTGAAAGTGTCATGCTTGGCTCTCTGTGAATACTCTGACCCACAAGGAAAGCCAATTTGTGAGCGTACTGGCAAGGAGCAGGTACTCTGATAATACCCTGTAGAAAGGGGCAAAAGAAAATGAAGGCAATTATTTTCAGGTAATTTAAATAAGCATGCAGTCGCTGCAACAAAGAGCTCTGAAATCTGCATACTTGTAAAATTTGTATTGTCTGTTGTTTATGCTGGTTTGTGAAAATAACTGTACATACCCCCAACACAACACAAGATGCAAAAACCCCCAACTTCCCAACTCCAGTGCCCTCCTGCCACCTCATACACGGGTTTACATTCAGTGCTGGGCCTTGCAGAAGGTGAGACATGTCACGCCTGGTATTTGTGGCTGCTGAAGTGCCACAGCTGAAGCACAGCTCAGTGCCGAGCTGGGTGTGCAGCAGCACAGCTCCACCTCCATAAAGGAGCAGATACCTGTGTGTTGTGTGCAGGCTGTCCCTGCAGGAGCACTCACCGACCAGTTGTAGTACATGTGGCACAGCTTGTAGGTGAGGCGCTGCACGTGGTCGGGTTTCAGCTGGCTGGTGTCGTAGATCACGTTGTAGTGGGTGGGTGCCACGCAGCCGTTCTTCACCGTCTGGCTCACCACGAAGAAATCATACCTGCCCCACCAAACACCCCACCAGCCTGTTACTGAGAGGGCTGTGTGCCCTGTGTGGGAAAATGCCAGTCCCCAGGTTAGCTGTCCTGGTTTCTTCACTTCATGCTCATTGAGTGCACCCCAGAGGGATGCCTAGGCTGTGGCCACAAAAGCTTCCTCTGTGTCTGAAAGGCCAGGAGGCCTGGAGGAACGTGAATAACATTATTATATGGACCAGGTCTTGAGGCCATAACAGCCTCAACTATTTGTTCAATCCCATTTTCCTCCTGATAATCACCCTGCACGTGCACGTGCCCTTAGCTTACACTGCTCATTTTCTGCAGCCCCTGAGCCACACAAGTGTGGGAAGTATTTTTACACCTGATCCTACAGTCCATGTAGTGTTGGATCTATCCCCTTTCTGCCCAGGCTGCTGGCAGCAGCAGGAAGTGCTGCCTCTGCAGGAACTCACCACTCTGGTCTGGTCACCACTGTATCAACAACAGTCCCTGGGGGTGGGTTCTTGAGTCCTCCCCCAGTCTCTGCAAAGAACCTGGCACCCACTCGTTTCTTCACCACAATCACAGTGAGTCTCGGGCTAAAAGAAAGGAAAAAGGAAAATAAACAATACTCTCCTAGAAAACTGCACTAGGACTATTTCAGGAGCAGATTCTCTGGAGTTCCAGGGCATTAATGTCACATGTAAGTCTTTATTGATTCAGATTAAGTAACACATTGTTCACAACTTTAGACACACAGTCTTCACCCATAGCCTTGTTTTGTATCCCAGTGTTTATTCCTCTGGCAGTGTGAAGAGAAGGGTTGGTAGAAATGGATTTACCTGTAGTCAGTACCAATACTCTTCAAGCAATCCAGAAATTGAGGCACTTCATAATTAACCAAAGTATTGAGTTGTCCATCTCCAACACCATCACGATACACAAAAATACGAGAGGGCAAAGACTTATTCCACTTCAACCAGTTCCTCAGAGCACCTTAAAAAAACAAGAGTAATAGCCGTTAGTTGTAATGACAATTCATTCCAAAACAGGAATAGATTTTTTTTCCTAGAAAACCAGCAAGATGGAGAAGCAAGGTCCTCAATCCTTCAGTAACCTGAAATGGGTCAGCATCATGCTACACAAACATACCTGCAAGGAAGAGCTCTGGTTTGCCTGTGCACCCACAAACAGAAAGGACCCAAGGATACACCTGCTCTGCTGGCCTCTCTCATAGCAGGAGCTGCTCCCCATGAAATCAGGCTCCCTTAAAGCATTCTTGGAAGTGCACTGCTCAGTAGTTTTTAATTATTGCAAAGGAATGTGGGAATCAGTGAAAGATTTACACAAGATGCTATTCATTTTCAGCAGTATTTATAAGGGAATGTTTAATCTGTTGTTATCCAAGTGCAGGCTGGTAAAGCCTCCTCTCAGGCCAGCAGGAGAGGAGGGTTTTGAGAAGCTGAATTGTCAGTTCTTAGATCTGGCTCTACAAGAGCAGAACTCCTTCCCTTACTTTGCAAGCAGGTTTTGATTCCATCCACAAGTTCTTGCCCACGGCTTTGAACAACGCAGCGGGAGAACCACCTGTGAAGAACAAAATGAAAGAGACCTTCGAAGCATTTCCCAGGCTTACTGCAATGAAGTTATTTTTAAAATGCCCATGACCACTTAGTCTTTACAGATCAATGCAGCCAAGGAAGAGCTGGGGTTCTATGAGAATATTTCCCCTAAATAAAAACATGGTAAAAGTGCCATAGTGTGACTTAAAACTTTTCTCAACCAAGAAGAGCCTTTCACACAGGTCAACACAAAAGGGGAAGGCCCTGTCACCCTGACGCTCTCTATTCATCCCAGCCATGTCTCCACCACTTGACCCTTCTCTCAAGCAATGTGGGACAAGGCCACTCCTTCAAGGGATGCAGTGAGAAAAATTCACAATATATTTCACATTAACCATTACAGCAAACCAGTTCCGTATTTTGCTGAAGGACCACCCCACTGAAGCTGTTTCTCAGCCAAAGGAAAGGGGTTTTTACCTGTGGCAGCCTGCTCTTACCGTGTGACTGACTGATTGAGGCTGGCCACGAAGCCCGCGATGGACTGCTTCCCAGAGACGGTGTCATGGTAACAATCGATGCCCACAATCATCACCTGCTTCAGCTGCAAGGCAACCACACACAGCACGGACCTGCTGTACTGGCCTGGCTTTTGAAATAAAGCCTCATAAGAGCAGTTACCGTTCATAAGAAAATACTTACGGGGATCTCAACACTCCAGAGCTCTCCGCCCATTTTACAGTTCATTTGCAAGGCAATTTTTGTTGCTACCGTCATGATAGTCTGCGGTTTACTCAAAGTGCGAGCCAGCACACACTGGCTGGGGATGGGGCAGTCTGTGCACAGGTACTTCTTGATGGCATCGTATTTATCCTTTCGGGAGCTAGACAAGATACAAACTACCTTTGAAGGAAAAAGAATCTTTGTAAGAAGCTGCATTCTCAGAGCTATACAGCACTTAAACAGTTCTTTCGGAAAAAGTTCGTAGGTGCAAGAGAAATATTCAGATGTTCACAATGAAAGAAAGAACTGCAAAGTGTCAGTGTCTGTACTTCAGAATCAAAGGCTCCTATCCAGAAGGATATCCAAGATCACTGGTAGGTTTGCACAGGAGGATGAGCAGGTACGTAGCGGATTCTCAGGGGCCCAAAGCTGCAGTTCTGAGAGCAAATCCCACTAAACACCAGTTACAGAGAGAAACAGGATTTGAAATTATGGGTTCAAGTACATACTATGTTTATGTCAGGGGTAATCCTTTGCTGTAAAACCCTTAAATATGCTTCTGTTCTATCATCTACTTCAATCCTGAAAAGAAAGAGAGAAAATGTTTACAGAAAAAGAACAGCTAACAGCTATTGAAACTTCAGCAAAAGCATAAAAGCTCACTACACGTCCATAGTGTATGAAATGTCACATTTACAGCTATTAACAAA